GAGGCGTAGCCCTGTGATGCCGTTGCAAGGAGAGGGACAGATCTGGAAAGGTTTAGGGATTTGACAGGAGCCTGTGTGTGTGGGGTGGGATTCCATCCCTCTCCCAGCCTCTGAGCACCCTACTGAGCCTTTGAACCAGGGGTGCTGCTTGCTGCAAGTCAGCCTTCACCTCATACCTGGGACGAGGTGACAGGGATGGGGGTGGCTGATGTGTGGGATTACCTCGTGAATCCCTGGCAGCCGGCTGGGGTGAGGGTGCTGGTGGGGTCTCAGCCTGCTGGAGGGGGATCTTGGGAAGGGTCTCCAAGGAAGATGTACCCCTGTGCAGGAGGGGTGGGACACCGCCAGGGATGGGTCCCTGAGGAGCTTGGGGCAAGCAGGGAGCTCTGCTGGGACCTGGCAGGGGTCAGAGCTCTGAAGGAACCTCGAAGGGTGAGAGAAAGAGGGAGCTTGGGAGGAGAGGCCGAATACACTGCCAGTGTCCCTCGTCTTGTGTAAAAGTCAAGGGGAATTAGGAGCTTCTCTCTGGTGTCATATTTTGGCTTTGGGGGGTGTCCCTGTGCCTGAGCTGTGGGGTCTGGAGTCACCCCTGGGGCTCGGTGAGCAGGGATCAAAGGCAGTGACTCTGATGGCTGAAACCGGGGACTGGCAAATTCCCCTTTGTGCTGAAGCAGAGGCATTTTGGACACAGTGCTCTCCCGTGGAGGTGGAAACAGAGCATCCTTCAGAGGGAACCACTGCCCAGCTCGAGCTCTGCAGCACCTGCTCCTGCAGTCCCTGTGGATGGCTCTTAAAGCCCTCAGAAGCCAGGGCTCAGCAGGGTTGAGCCATGTCAGTGTGCATCCAGGAGGACTGGGGGTGGCTTCAGCCTTCACACAAGCAGAGGCAGCACCTCTTTAGTCCCACTTAAGCTTCACAGACCTGACCTCTCTGATGCTGCATCTTTGCAGGTGGTGAATTTTGCTCCCTTCACGCTGCTCCCATCTGCAGTACCCAGTGCCTTGTTTGAACAAGCATACGCTGTTCAGCAAGATTTTAACATGCTGGTGGATGCTATTAGTCAAAACAAGGAATTCCTGGAGCATACTCTGGCCAGGTAACGCTCTTTCGTGGTGCTTTTTAATGAACTGTTTTAAATGCAAAGCATTTATCACTTTTCAGCATTCCTACCTTCCGTCCGTTCATGTCCTTCACCTGAGGCAGGCACTCCTGTCCTCTGTGGAAAGTGTGTCCTTCCCTGCATTATTTGTCCTAAGGTTAATTCCCATCAAGTCTCTGTTTTGATGTCTTTTGGGGCCTCAGGAGATGGGACCTCTGGTCAAGAGGTGACTCCCTGCAATGATCTTCAGTTTTGCCAGTGCTTCAAGGTTGTGAATTCTTACTGCGAGCTTGGTAGCCCCTTAAATTCAAATCGCTGGGTCCAATAACCACCAGCTCTGCCTGCAGCTATGAAGAGGTGTTTCTTCCTCCTCCCATCCCTCCCTCGGATCAGCCACCCAGTGTCCCCTGCTCGCCCAGCCATGCTGGGAAGGTGTCCCACAGCCTCTGGGTGATGGAGCGACCATCCCTCACTGTGGAGCCCATAACCTGTAGGGCTGATGCTTCCACAAAACCCGTTTACCTTCCTGCTGTCTGTGGAGCTGCTGCTGGTGTAGGGGTGCTGCTGGTGTAGGGGTGCTGCTGGTTCTCTGGCACTGGGACAGAGCAAAAGAGACTCTTTTGCAGTGTCCTTCTTGTTTTGGCCCCTCAGAGCTGTTGAAATGCTTGTGTCTGTTCCAGAGCTGGCTGCAGCCAGAGCTTGTGGGGATGTGCTTGTACCTGTGGGGAAGGAATGCAGTGCCTGGGGCTTGGGTGCACTCGGGTGCCTGCCCTGTGCTGCCTCCTCTGCATTGTCTCAGGGCAGCTCCTTGGAGGTGCTGCTCACTGTTGGCTCAGGGAGTTGGGATCCTGAAGAAAAGCCAAACCTTCTCTAGCAGGGCCTTGTAGCACTTGGTATCAGGGTGTGTGGGATTTGGAGCCCAGCGAGATGGGAATTCGATGAAGCTTGTGCAGCTTCCTCTAGGAGCTGTGTGTGCAGGCCCAGAGGGACTTCTCATTCCTTTCCTGTGTGCAGAATTCTGCTGCATTCCTTTGCTTTTGCTTGTCTCTTGCCCTGCAAACAAGTCATCTCTGCACATGGTGCTTTTTGTGGAGTGCTGCGCTGAGCAAAGGGGGTTTGTGTTATGGTTATGCCCCCTTGGTGAAGATTGCTTTCATGGTGAGATGCTTAACAGTGCTGCAGGACCTGGTGTAGCCACAGCCCTGCTCTGTGTGCTGGGCAATGTCCCTGGGAAGGTTTTCTTTCTGGAGAGGAGTTAACTGCCTTGTTCCTCTGTGACAGTGTAAGGGGCTGATGTGATGTGTGTTCCTCTCTAGCACCATCAAGGTGGATGACTTCACAGCTCGACTCTTCAGGATCCACACACAAGTTCTGGAGGAAGGCTTGGCTCAGGTACCTGCCAGGAGACCCCAGTGCTCAGTGTCCCTCTGCACCGTGGTGGCCTTGCCTGGGCTCTGTCTGCAGGCTTGCTGCTGCTTGGGACTGTCCCCTAGTCAGCCTGGTCACTTCCGACACCACAATGTCCTGGATACAGCCTGTGAGCTCGGGACTTTGCCCTGTTTGATGGTCGTGCCCTTTGGATAATGATGCTGGAAGCAGCCAGGCCTTGACTTGGGAGGGTTTAATATGTCTTTGTCCCCTGGGAGCCTCAGGAGAGCATAGGGCTGTGTTCCATGTCAGGACCTGTGCTGACAGGCTCTCCCTGCAGAACCTCGTTTACTCTAACAAGTGTTAACCCTTTGGAGTGCCAAGCAAGGCTGTGGTCCCTAAGCAAGGGCCAAAGCACCCGAGGGCATGTCTTACAGAGGTTTGTATCAACGTGAACGTGACTGGGTCTGTCCTAGGAGGATTTTGAAGTGAGGCCATCAAAGGGATTTGCAGTTAAAGGCATCAGAAGCCCCCACTTCACCTCCCCTCTGTTCCAGTCTGTGTTTTTAGGCATAAACCGCTCTGATTACATGTTTGACTGTGGGGTGGATGGGACACCAGCTCTGAAGCAGATAGAAATAAACACCATTGCTGCCAGCTTTGGAGGCCTCACCTCCCGCACTGTGGCGGTCCATGGGTAAGGCAGCATCTCTGGCCCATGCTGCAGCAGCTGTATGCATGGCCTGCTGCACAGCCTGTCTCTGCATGCTCCCAACCTCCAGCTCCCTCGGTCTGGCCAGGGGCTGCCATGGCATTTACAGGATTCTTTGTTCCACAGGCAGGTGTTGAAAGTGCTGAGGAAGCCTCAGGAGGCATCACGCCTGCTGCCCAACAACCCATCCAGAGGCCTTGCCTTGGGTATTGCCAAAGCCTGGGAGCTCTACGGCTCTCCAAGGTAAGGAGAGAGGAGGTGCTGGAGGCTGTTCTTGTCTGCCCTGAAGATGCACATGTTTGGGTTTAAAACACTGCTTTCTGTTTGCAAGACAAGCTGCTCTCAAAGCCTGGGGCACCCTGGGAAGAGCACTGCATTGTCTTAGTGCACAAAGCTGCTGTGTCCCAAAGGCAGAGAGGTGCAGAGGGACCCTGGAGGAGTCGTGGGGTTCAACAACCCTGCACAGAGGTTGCTTCTCCTCCTGCCCTTAGGCTTATGCCCTGTGGTGGTTTGGTTGTTATGCAGGAGCAGTGCTGCTCTCTGTTCGCATGCTGACCCATAGAGACACTGCTGAAAATGAGCAGGAGCAGTGCAGGAAGCTCACAGAGGTCAAAAGTTGGTGATCCTGGGTGCACATGGAGTGTTTCTGGGTTCAGTGATGTCCTTGGTGTTTCTTCCAGTGCTGTGGTGATGTTTCTGGTGGAGGAAGTCCAGAGGAACATTTTTGATCAGCGATGTGTAGAAAATGAGCTTTGGAAGAGGTAAAGGTTGGATTTTCCTGGGATGGGAAAGGAAGGAGGTGGTACAGGCTTGGAGAAGGGAAACAGAATGAACTGCTGCCAGATCATAGTGTTCCCCTTGAGGCAGCTTTTGGGGTATCTCCAGGCTCTTCAGCAGGCATTGGGAGTGTAGGAGCAGGCCAGGGAGAGATGGAGGTGTGCAGAATCCATTTGCTTTTAACTTTGTCACCTACTCACGGATAAAGTCAAAACACTTTTAGTTTCTGGGGCTGTGAGAGGCCGAGTCTTGGTATGTAACAGGGCAGCCTTTATCTTGGACTTATCTCTGTGCTCTGTTATGCAGCTCTCTCGGCGTTCCTTCAGTGGCCTCCTGCCCAGCCTCAGCACCCACCTTCATCACCTCCCAAAGCCTCTCACCAGCTCCTTGCTGGAAATACCAGCAGCATCAAAGCCTCTGGTCTCCAGAGCTGGTTCCTTGCTGATACTGAGCCTGTGTAGTCCTCAGAGCTGCACCCCTGGCAGCTTTGCTGTGGCCCCAGTCGCTTAGATGAGCAGAGCGGGTTAATGGGGGCCCTGTTTGCTCTCTGACTTGAGACTTGGCACAGGGCATTTCATAAAAGCTTAAATAATGAAGCTCCAAAGCAAAAGGAAGCAACGTGGCCGTAGAGTGAAGCACTGGGGAGAAGGAGGTGTTCAAAGATGTAGCCCCAGGGCTGTGCCGGAGCAGTGGGAGGTGTATCACGTATGGGGCCGTCTCTCCGCAGCAGCAGCTCCACACTGCCGCTGCGTGGAGGAAAGACAGGAAAGCAGGAAGGACATGAAACGTTCAGGAAGTCACTGTCTGCAGCGTTTGGTTTGGGAGGCAACAGTGAGTGAATCTGTTGTGTAGGGATAAAAACCTCAGAACACCAACTTCTCTTAGAAATGCTTTAGGAGCTGAAAGGGGAGATGGAGAAATCCAGGGGTTCAGGCACACGTTCTGCTTCCAGTAGTATCTGGGTGGGAAACACAGGAGAGGTGCTAAAACTTGGACTGTCTTGCCCTGTTGGACTCCTCTGGCTCTAGTGTAAAGCCTGTGAAGGAGCCTCCAGCTCCTCCTTGCTGGAGCCACTGGCTCCACCTCTGGTTCCCAGCTCAGTGACCTGCGTGATGACTCTCCCACTCCTCTCTTGACAGGAATATTCGGGTCATCAGGAAGCGATTCCGGGATGTGTTTGAGAAGGGCTCTCTGGATGAGGCCAGGAGGCTGTATATGTGAGTATGAGCCAAGGTGCGCATCCCAGCTCTGCGTTGGGCACACGGGGCTGCGATGGGAACGTTCAGCCAAAGCTGGTGGGATGTTCTGAGTGTCAATAGTACCTTTCTGAGAGCAGGTCTCTTCCATGCTCCTGGCTGCTGGCATGATTTTGTTTGCATGCACACACCAGTCCCTTACACCTGGAAATGTAATTTCCCTCCTTCAAACCACAGCCTTTAGAGCTCTGTGAGATCTTCACTTCCTCCACATACATCTGCTGGGAGAAGTCCTGGCTGTTCCAGAGGCTTCCCCAAAGCCATTTCCTGTTTACTGCTCACGTGAGGCTCTGCCAGTGGGAGCTGGGGTGCTGGAGGAGGAAGCATCCCATGTCCTTATGTTATCTGTTGGATTTGAATGCATCCTGCATCTTGGCTTCTCCCTGTGGAGGCCTGCGCAGGTCACAGGCTCCAAGTGCTGGCAGTTGGTCTCAAGTGGGACGTTTGTCCTGTTTCCAGGTACTGTGCTTGGAGCTGTCCAAGCCCAGAGGGAGCTATGGTTTCATGGTAGTGTTTTTCCTGTAGTTAGGCTGATTTTAACCTGGTTTGACCTTTGATGCCTCTGCTGTGTTTAATTAACAAATACATTTGTCATTGCCAGACAGTTAAAGTGTATCGACTGCACTCCTCAGAGCACCCTCTCCTCTTCCTACTGAATGCCTTTACGCTTGCACTGCCAGCAGGTTCTGTGCTGCTTCCCTGGGCACATGCAGGATGGCCCAAGCTTGCGGGTGTGGTGCTGCTGGCACTGCCCTGGCAGGGTGATTTGGTGCCTGGGTAGGTTATTGAGTTGATGTCCTGGCTTGAATTGCCACTGGAGACAGGACCCTGTTCCCTCCCAGCTTCCAGCATCTCCCAGGCCTGGCTCCTGGTGGCAAAAGCTGTTGAAAACTAAGGGTCTTCCCTCCCTGCTGGGCTGGAGCCTCAGAGGTCAGGGCAGAGGTGAGGTGTCAGCTCCCTGGGCCTCAGGCAAGCGGCTGCGGCTCAGTGGAGAGGAGCCAGGGCTGGCAGCTTCCCCTGGCAGAGCCAGGCAGGAACAGAGCAGCCCAGGAGAAGAGACAAATGCTGGAATGTTGCCTCCTGACCCCACTGCAGCCCCCTTGGTGCTGGGGGTTCGGGCAGGGGTGACCTGGTTCTGTGAGTGGCTCTGGTCTGTGTTCCAGGGACGGGCAGGAGGTAGCAGTGGTGTACTACAGGGAGGGCTACGTGCCAAGCAACTACGACCAGCAGGTCAGTGCTGACCCCTCGGCTCCAAAAAGCCACCCATGCTCTGGCCTTACCCAGGGAGTGTGAAGTGCCCCGTGATCCCAGGGTGTGTGTCCTCTCGGGGGGGGGGGTTAGTCCTGTCCCACCTGGCTGATGGCATGGGGAGGCTGTGACCCTGCAGTTCTGTGGGTGGCCGTGGCACACAGTGAGCAAAACAAGTGGCTTTCTCCTCCAGTAACCACTCGGTGGTGACTTCTTACCACAGCACCGAGCTGCTTCTGCACAACAGGGGTTAGCACAGGTATTAGCACCAGCTTAAAGGGTTTAGGCTTAATCTACAGACCACACTGTCCTCTACCATAGTACTATTAGGCTGCAGTTAATGCAGACCAGATCTTGCTGTTGCCTGGAGATGGCAGCACTGGACAAGCTGGGAAGGGGGTGGAGGCAAAGGGGGTGGGAAATCCATGTGTGCATCTCCAGGGTGCTATTCCCACCCCATCCCGGCCAGGCAGGGGGGGAGGAGGCAACTCATATGTCCATAACTGAACAGGAAAGCGTGGAGAGATGCTTTAAACCTCTGCTGATGGGACGGTCACTCTCTTTCTGCCTCAGAACTGGGAGGCTCGGCTGCTGCTGGAGAGGTCCCGGGCAGTGAAGTGCCCTGACATTGCCACCCAGCTGGCGGGCACCAAGAAGGTGCAGCAGGAGCTGAGCCGCCCAGGGACACTGGAGAAGCTGCTGCCCGGCCACGCTGAGGCTGTCACAAGGATCAGAGCAACCTTTGCTGGGCTTTACTCCCTGGATATGGTGAGTGGGGCAGAGCACGGGACATGCGGATGTGTGCTTGGTCTGTGGGATGTTTCTCTTTGGTCAAGGAGATGCTGTGGTCCCCGAGGGACCCTGTTGATCCTGCTCACAGGGGGGTTCCTGGGGAGCCCCTGCTTCTCCCTCATGCTTTGCTGTTCCATCCTCCCTGCAGGGTGCAGAGGGGGACAGGGTGGCTGCTATGGCGATCGCCGACCCCGACCGCTTCGTGCTGAAGCCGCAGCGAGAAGGTGGAGGTATGAGCTGGGCCCATGTGGGTCTTCACTGCTGCTTGTGCTGGAGCAGGAGAGGTGATGGCTCTGTGGTGGCTCCTGGTCCGGTGCCAGGGGGCTTGGAACTGGATGATCTTTAAGGTCCCTTCCAACCCAAACCTGTCTGGGATTGTGTATTAGGCAGAAGCTCTTCCCTGTGAGGGTGCTGAGGTGCTGGCACAGGGTGCCCAGAGAAGCCGTGGCTGCCCCATCCCTGGCAGTGTTCAAGGCCAGGTTGGACACGGGCTTGGAGCAACCTGCTCTAGTGGAAGGTGTCCCTGCCTGTGGCAGGGCTTGGAACTGGATGAGCTTTAAGGTCCCCTCCAACCCAAACCAGTCTATAAAAGGTGGGGTGGTTTGGAGCCACTTGAAGCCATGGGGGACGGGTCTTGGCAGTACAAGGTGGTGCCGGTCCTGGAGGAGCCGGGCTATGGGGAGCCCCAGGCTGGGTCTGTTTGGCTGTGGGGGTGCATAGCTGGGGCCAGGGGCTTCTGCTGTGCTGGACAGTGCTTGACTTGCTGGTTTTGTTGTTAGGGAACAACCTTTATGGTGAAGAGCTCAGGCAGGTTCTGGAGAAGATCAAAGACAGCCCTGAGAGAACCTCCTACATCCTGATGGATAAGATCAAGCCACGACCAGTGAAGAATTACCTGCTGAGGGCTCACAGCCCCCTGCAAGTGTCCGAGTGCATCTCAGAGCTGGGGATTTTTGGCGTCTATGTCAGGTGAGAACGTGTTTCTACTACAGGGTGGTTTCCTGCCCCAGCCAGCATTGGCATTGGGAGCATTCTCCCCTCTGCACTGTGAGCACAGCAGCAGGGCTGATGTCTGTGGGGAGGTGGAGGTGCAGGAACAGCCCTGGCTGTGCAGCCTCTGCCCTGGCAGCAGCTCTGAGCACTGCTCAGACACTGCACTGCTGCTCTGGACCCACTGCCCATGAGCTGATGCTGGTGGAGTTGGTGTGTCCACCCCTGCTCTCTACGAGCAGTGCTCAGGTCCCGGGTGCAGCCACGTGCTTCTCTAAAGCCCTGGCTATCTCAGGAATAGCTGAAGGCTGAATGCAGTCGTGTTCAACCCTAAATAGCTGCTGCTTTTGTTTAAAACCCTCATAGGCCCTTTGAAATCTTTCCAGAGCTTCTAAATTTGAGTCCTTCTGGTATAATTTTAGAAACAAATGTACTCTGGCAGCATTCAGAAGCTGGCACTGGGTGTGCAGTCACTCACCCAAAGCACCAGCTGAGGGAAGGCACAGAGCAGGCACAGCTCTGCTGTGTGCCCAGACCCCTGCATCAGCCCTGGGGCTTTTACCTGGTCTGCACGGGGGTGGGGAACACAAATCACATTGTCCAAGCTGATATTAGACCAGGTTGGAGATAAGGCAGAAGCTCTTCCCTGTGAGGGTGCTGAGGTGCTGGCACAGGGTGCCCAGAGAAGCTGTGGCTGCCCCATCCCTGGCAGTGTTCAAGGCCAGGTTGGACACAGGGGCTTGGAGCAACCTGCTTTAGTGGAAGGTGTCCCTGCCCGTGGCAGGGGTTGGGGCTGGATGAGCTTTAAGGTCCCTTCATCCCAATCCAGGCTGTGGCGGGTTCTCAGCTGCCCTTTCCCTTGCAGACGAGGCTCGGAGCTGGTGTTGAACGAGGCCGTGGGGCACCTCCTGCGCACGAAGGCAGTGGAGCACGCGGACGGAGGGGGGGCAGCAGGGGTGGCCGTGCTGGACACCCCCTACCTGGTGTGAGGAGGTGACCCCATCCCCCTGCTGCCTCAGGAGTTGAGCTGCCCCAGGCTGTTCTCCTTCGAGTGTGCTTGCCAAGGCCTGACCTGCTGGGGACGGTGAGGAGGGGCTGGGGGGACACCACTGCTCAAACACCCCATGGACCAGCCCCAGCTTCTCTGCAGGACAAAGGGGCTCATGTCCCTGCCCCTGCCCATCCCACCCATGGCCTCCCAGGACAACACAGCTCTGGCTGTCCCTTGGGGGCTACAGCAGGTACTCGTGCTGTTCCTGGTTGCGTGCTCTGTGATGCTGTTGTTTCTGGAGACACAAACCCAATGCCTAGGGAAGGAGAGGAGAAAGGGGGATGTGTCAGTACGAGCTTTCATCTGTTGGATTCATGGCCAGGCCCCTCCAGCCCTGCTTTAGGTGCTGCTGCTGCTACAATTCCTACTCTTCCCTGTGCTGATGCCCCTCAGTGTTCCTGCACAAGGGACACATGCCCTGGTGGGGTTTGTCCAGGAGCCTCTTGCTTGCTTTTGCTTTGCCCACCTCCTGCTGGGTGCTCATCCCAAAGCCTGCCCCTGTGCCACTTGAGGCAGGCAGCAGTGCAGGCTGCCTCTGAGACCCCCCCAGTGATGAGGAGGAACTGGAGCTTTTAGTCACTGTGTCCATAAACCCCTTCCCAGCGCATCCCATTGCAAGTCCTGCACTGAGCAGCTCCCACCTGGGCTGCTGCAGCACTTACAGCCCAAGAGGGTGTCAGGTAGCCCCAACCTCAGTAAATGGTCCTGTGGGACCGTGGGGTGGGCTGAGACGGGGAGCTCTGTGCTGAGGAAGCAAAAGGAACCACAGGAGAGGCTGAGCCGGTGCAGCCCCGCTGCCAAGCGCTTCCCTCTGGGACCAGCTCCAGCGCAGGGCAAGACGTGTCACCCTCCAGGTTTCATGGGTTGGGAACAGCACAGCAGCGCAGGAATGTGGGATGCAGCCTCTCCTTCCCAAGGTCTTTTCCTCCAGCCCCTCTTCCTCCTCAGCTGAGCAGTTCAAAGGGAAGCCATCACAATGTACTTTCCTGGCAGTGCCTTGGTTAAAGCAGCCTCAGCTCTACCCTTGTGGTGACACTGGAGGAGCAGATTAAAGCCACTGCTCCTGAAGGGTGACTGTGCTGAGCACCAGTGCAGCGCTGCTGCTGTCACTGCACCTCTGTGGTCACCCCTGTCTGTGAGGGGGAGCGGTTCTACATTCCTGGGGGTTGTGGCACTTGGGGGGGTTGATTGCCCCCAGCCACAGATTAAAACATGATGTGCAATCCGAGCACTGCTCTTGTGCCTGTTCTGTGTGACACAGAGGGCAGGGGGCTGCCCAGGCTGCTTTGGGCAGGGGTACATGTTGTGCATGGCCCTTCTGTGTACCTTCACCCCAGGGATGGCTAAACCCTTTTTGCTCTGGGTGCACTGTGGTGGAGGTGGATCCTGGCACTGTTGCTGGTGTTAGGGGTGCCAGGTAAGACATAGCTCCAGGAGGAAACGCCAAGCCAGGGGCGGGATGCGGTGGCTGGAGCAGCAGGGGAAGGGACATGGCTGGACCGGTTGTGAGGAGCAGGAGAGCAGTGATGGAGCATGGCCCTGGAGCTGACGCAGGACCACAGCAGGGAGGCAGAGGCTGGTACCCAGCGCTGCACCTGTGTGAGGACCTGGCCTGGTGCAGAGGTGAGCCCTCAGCTGCTGGGGGTGCGCAGCCTGCATCAACATGGTGTTGATGTCAGATGGGCATCAGAGTCTTGTGCTTTCCATGAGCCTCAGTGGAACCACCTTGGCTGGAGCCCAGGGAGAAACCGAGGCCCAGACAGGCTCCAGCCCTGGAGCCAGAGCTCTGCCCTCACCCCAGTGCCCAGCAGCAGCACAGGCAGAGTCACAGCCTCTAACTCCAGCCCTCAAGAAGCCCCACACTGTCAGTAACCTGCTCATCCCCAAAAGCCTACCCCGGTGATGGCAGAGCTGCTCCAACAGCCATGTCCAAGCATCTCCAACCCATGCACATGCTCTGAGCCCATTTCCGTTTTGTTTCCTTGAACTTTATTCCATAAAACTCGAGCTGTTTCCAGCCAACATTACACAGTGAACAGTAAGTGAGGACAGTAACTGAGTGAACAGTAACAAGGTGGCACAATCCAGTGGTACAGAGTTGTGGGGGACACGGGAGGCACTGGCACACGCAGGTCAGAGATCACAGACAAGAGCTGTGCCAGCAGGAGCAGCAGGTAAGGAGTGAGACATGGGCTTTGGACTACAGCAACCAGCCCCAGAGGCAGCTGCCTCACCCTCCCCAGTCAGCTCAGTTGCAGGTAAAGCCTCTACAGCTGCTGCAGCACGTTTTAAAGCCCATTTCTCCTTTGGTTTAAGTGCAAAATCAAACAGCTCACATGCAGTTTTCATACAGACATTACAGAGGAGGTAGCTCAACCCAGAGCTGGAGTTAAATGTACTTCATTGGAAGAAGAATGGCTCTAGCAGTGCCCTTGTGATGTTCAGGCTCTTGGGCTACGGGTTTTGGGGTAATTTTTCCCTCTGACCATCATAAATCCCTGACAGATTTAAGCAAAAGCCAGCCTGAAGTATCTTCCACAATGTTTTTCCTGATGAAGAAACACCAGCCAGCACTACCACTGCCCTGCCTGCCTTGGTGGCCTCTCTGCCTGCACTGGGAAGGCACCTCTGCATGGGCTGCCCTCCCCTGGGTACCACAGCACCCGCTGCCTCCCCAGGACACAAGAAGAGCATCAGCCCGAGCTCAGCTGTGAGCTCTGTGGAGCACATCACACCAAGGCCTCTCCCTCCTTGACCATGTGTGGCCAGTGCAGGACCGTGGGTTGGGTAAAACACAGCCGCTGGCACTGTGCACTTGGGAAGCAGCAGATCTTGGCACCAAATGGCTCTAAAGCTGTTTTAAAGCACAGAGCCCCCAGCCTTGCCCCACTCTCTCTCAGGCTCAAGGACCTCTGCTAGCAGCAGGCTTGGACAGTGGATGCAAGGCTAAGGCTCAGCTACACAGTTGTAACGTGCTTTGCAGCACTCCATGGAGAAGAGGGAGCTCAGCTGGGCCTGGGGGGGCTGCAGCTCCTTCCCTGCCTGCATCAAGGAACCCCAGCTCCACCTCCCCTCCAAGCCCCAATGTTCCTTCCCACTGTGCACAAGGTGCCAGAACCCCCTTAATTACATAAAGTTAATCAACAATCCCAGCCCCAACTAATTTAAACATCAAGAAGGAGGTGCTGGAAAGGGAGGAGGAGGAGTGCCCCTGTGCACGAGGCTCAGCCTCACGTGTACACTTCCCATGTGGAACAGGATGCACTCCTCCGAGGCAGGGGCACGCCAGCGAGATGTGGCCTCTCCAGAACCTGTCCCTCCTTCAAACATTTGTACATTCAACTCAATGGGTGAAGGTTCCAACCCGGGTCAGGCAGCTGGGACCTGCTCGCCAGGACACTGCTGCCACAGCAGGGCCGATGCTGCTACTGTTTAATGTTACATCTGTTGTTGAAAAGTTGGTCTATGATGCTCGGGTCTGCCAAGGTGGAAGTGTCCCCCAGGTCGTGGTCATCCCTGGCAATCTTCCTTAAGATCCGCCTGGTTATCTTTCCTGTAACAACAGCCAGGAGAGGGAAGCAGAGTCAGCGTCTCCTCAGCATCCTCAGCACGAGTGGGGAGCGCCCAGACCTGCAGCATCCTCTTTGCCCTGACATTGCTGCCCCCGGCTGTGGGTGGCCCTGGACAAGCAGTTGAGGGCTGGTTTCCTTCCAGTGGCAGGAACAGTCCCCAGACCCCTTACCTGAGCGGGTCTTGGGCAGCCCAGGGGCATACTGGATGTAATCAGGCGTTGCGATCGGTCCAATCTTGTCTCTGACTACAACGAAGAAGAGAGAGGTTTTAAGTGCAGGTGGGAGAAGGTACCACGCAGCTCCCTTTGGAGGCAGGAGGACCATGACATGCAGAGCCCAGCTGCAGGGCAGGGCTCAGGGCTGCTGCACCCACACCTCTGGGCTGCGGGAGGGGGCAGCAAGACCTGCAACGCCAATGGGGCCATAAGCACACCCTGCCAAAGGCAGCAGCACTCACCTTTTCCTTCTCTCCATCCCCAGGAGACCTCTCTAATGGCTACACCCATCACTACATACCATTTTGATAGGGCAAGGACTGATTTGCTGTTGGGTTCCTCCAGAGAGGAAACTGCCACAGGTCCAATTCATGTGGCAATGAAAGAGCTCCCTTGAAACCAGAGCACAAACACCCATAGCACAAGCACCCCAAAGCACCCAACAACCCTCTCAGCAAGTCAGAATGTGCCCAGGGGAGCCACTGGGAGCCGTGCCCACACGGGAGAGCACAACAAGGCTCTGGGCACCCCAGTCCTTCACAGAGCTGCCAGCTCCCATCCCAGCAGGTCCAGAGGGTATCACAAGGGCAGCCAAAGGCTCAAGAACTAATTTTAGTGCTTGCCAGCCGTGCTCTGTGCTCAGAGCACCTTGTCACACTTGTCCCCGCTGCATTCCACACCCCACACCCCCCCAACCCTGCAGCACCCATCCAGCTCTCCCAGCACCTCCCCAGGCCTGGCTGGTGGTACCTTGTTTTTTGAGCTCATCCTCCAGGCTCTTGGTGAACTCGTAGCCAACCCTCAGCGTGACAAAGCAGTAGAGGCACTCTCCCTTCAGGGGGTGGGGGTGACTGACCACTGCAGACTCCGAGACAGCAGGATGCTCCAGCAAGGCTGACTCCACCTCTGACGTGCTCAGCAAGTGGCCTGGGAGCAAAGAGAGGCAGAGCATTAGACCTGCATGGGTGAAGTGAGGTCCTGCAGCCTCCAGCAGCTGGGAGGAGGAGGAGGGAGAAGGTCCTAAACTATGAGTTTGAGAGCAACAACTCCATGTGCTTGACAAAATACAACAGTTGGAGAGAAACCCCAAAGGCTGCCAGGTATCACCCACCTGCAGAGCAAGGCCACCTCCCCTGGCTGTCCTCCCTCCCACCTCTGGGCTTCTTGAAGAGCCCACGAACTGTTCACAGCCATGGGATTAGGCAGAGCACAGCCTGAGGAGGAGCTGGATGTGGTAAGAGACCTGCCCACATGGTGAGCTGGAAGGTGCAGAGGAGGAAGAGGCTGGACCTGCCATGCACTGCCCCAGCTCATCGCTGTGTGGGGATGGAGTGATGCTCCACACATCAGGGCAGGGGCACAACTCACTCCTGTGCCCCTGCTCCTGCACTCTGACATTCCACCCTGGAACTGCTGCCACAGAAAACCCCTGGAAGGTGGTTGACTCCTGGATGGAGGATCAAGCACTGCTGGTCAGGTAAAAGGATCTAGTTTGGTGCAGGGACAAGTACAGCAGCATCTCACAGCCAGCAGAAAGTACCTACAGGCTACAGCCTCCAGGGAAGGAGCTATTAAATGCAGTATATGGACAAGGATGGGCTGAGAAGCAGCTGAATCTCAGTCAAGAGAGATGGGACAATATCCACCCTCTGTAGACACAGCTCCAAGCAGCCTGATTCAGCTTCAAGGTTAGCCCCATGGTCCTGCCCAACCTCTGTGATTCCCTGTGCTCCCAAACCCTTCAGCATACAGGAACTTGGCTGGTAAAGGATCTCCTCTGAGTGGTTACAGCAGGTTCCTTCCCTGCAGTGCGTTGTCTCCAGAGGAAACGAAGCAGAAAGTGACCAAGTCACAGACTCGTGCCTCAGAAACAAGATGACCCAGCAGTTAGACCCACTTGAGGGCAGGTTGCTGGGTAGAGACACGGTCCAGAACCACCCCCCATAAACCAAGGTGTGTTTTTAACTAGTGTCAGGAATGGAAGCACGAGTGTCCCCCCCAAGGTCTCTCAAGCAGTGTCAGAAAGCACATTGGTCCCCACTGAAAACAAAACTTGTTCTTACCAGAAATATTCAGCATGTCATCGATTCGCCCTGTGATCCAGTAATAACCATCTCGATCTCTCCTGCAGCCTAAAAATAGGCAGAAATGCCAGGGTGAGGGAGCAGTGCCAGCACCCAGCTGCTGCCAGGCCAGGCTGTGGCAGGACTGAGACTGCTGTCCCCAGGCCTCTGCGGCGGTGTCCTCCCCAGCCTACCATCGCCCGTCACGTAGTAGCCAGGGAACTTCTTGAAGTAGGTTGCCTCGAAGTGTGAGTGGTTCCCGTGGAGCGTCCGTATCATCCCCGGCCAGGGCTGCTTGAACACCTGGGAACACACACCCGAGTCAGGGGAGCAGCACCAGCAGCCCAGGCTCTGCCACGCTGAGACACACACACAGGCTTTGCACAGGATGAAGCACAGAATCCCAGCCTCGTTTGGGTTGGAAGGGACCTTAAAGCTCATCCAGTTCCAACCCCCTGCCATGGGCAGGGACACCTTCTACTAGAGCAGGTTGCTCCAAGCTCCTGTGTCCAACCTGGCCTTGAACACTGCCAGAGATGGGGCAGCCACAGCTTCTCCTGGCAACCTGTGCCAGGGCCTCACCACCCTCACAGGAAAGAGCTTCTTCCTTATACCTAACCCAAATCTCTCCTCTTTCAAACCTACAGGCCCTTGTCCAAAGCCCCTCTCCAGGTTTCCTGGAGCCCCTTTAGGCACTGGAGCTGCTCTAAGTTCTCCCCTTCAGGAGCCTCCTCTTCTCCAGGCTGAAGCAGCCCAGCTCTCTCAGCCTGTCAATGAACATGCAGTGGTACGAGATGCTGGAGACAGCCAGGAGTGATGACACATGGACACTTGCTGCCCAGTGCTCATCCACTGGGAAAGCTACACCAGGCCTGGCATGGGGGAAGGAGCTTGGCCGAGAAGTTGTTCCCATTCTCCTGCATTTAACCGTCACCTGAACAGTTTATTCACAGCAGAAAGCTCTCAGCAAGTTATGACAGTCAAGGAAGTTCCTACAACCCAGGTGGGTCCCTTGCGTGGACCCAGAGTAAGCAGAGACGTGTGTATGGTACCAGGAAGGTCCAGGGGCTCACAGGGAAGGGACAAGAGGAGGGAGAGATCATCTTTACCAGGTAGCCTTCTGCTTCTCCTTCCAGCTCTTCCCCCGACTCGTTCAAGATGGCAGGAACCACACTAAAGAAAGGGAACCCCTGCCATGGAGACCAGAGAGAAAGAGACACGGAGGTGAGCCCAGGAGCCACCGCTGGGAGGCAGAGCAAGGGCAGCTCTGCAGAGCCTGTGGCACATGGGGCCACCTCCCTGCAGGCAGTGCCAACTGCTGCTGCAGTGCCCTGGGGAGCCCCCTGCCCCTGGGGGGAGAGCAGCGGTACTTACAGCAGAGCCTGGCTTCAAGGGGGTGGCACCGGGGAGCGGCGTCAGCATGTGGCCACCCTGCAAAAAGAGGTAAAACCCAGTGAGTTTGGGCCATACCAGCCTGTCCCACAGTGTCTGCATCAGCTCTCATCACACCACATCAGACACAGGCTGCTCAGGGCACCTGTGGAGACAGAGCCTTGGGAAGGATAAAGTAGGGGACAGGGGGCCTGTGTTTGGGCACAAAGCTTTGGAGCTGCTGGGGGTGAGAAAGAAGGGCAGGACAGCAGGGTCCAGAGCAGACCTTGGCAGGGACCCTATGGAGAGGAAGGTTTCCCATTGGAGCTTGCCTGAGGGACAGGAAAGAAAGAGAAGGGGAACCAACACCTGACAGTCCGAGACTGGAGTGTGCTGGGCAAGCAAAACAACTAGTCCCCAGAGAACCAAAGAAACAGGAAGGCAAAGCTGGGAGCACCCTGCAGGGAGCACAGGGGAAAGAAAGGTCCCGGGGGGAAAGAGAGGTCCCAGGGACACCCAGGTGAGCACTCACTGTCTCTGTCTGCCAGAACGTGTCCACAATGGGACACCTCTCTTCTCCCACCACACGGTAGTACCAGAGCCAGGCCTCAGGGTTGATGGGCTCACCAACACTCCCCAGCACCTTCAGAGACTTCCTGCTGTGCCTGCAGAGAGGAGGGGGCTGCCAGGGGCTCAAATGGCCAAGGAGGGCAGCAGCTCTGAGCCTGCTGCACAGCAGAGCCTGCAGGAGCCCTGGGGTACCCACAGAGCGTACTCGGAGCTTCCAGGCATGGTTCAGACCCTTCTCAGCCCTCTTCCATGGGGGAAGAAGGGATTCTGGCATCTCCCACTTCAAGCTCCCACTTGGCTCTGCTCCTTCCCTGGGCCAAGGAGCAGCTCTCTGCTCAGCACACCTCTGTGAGCTCTGGGTCAGGAGCAGGGAGAACCTACAATCTGAGCTTAGCAGCAGCTTACACTGCAAGAGGACATGCTCAGAATTGCCATAAGGAAGGCAGTGCTGGAAGTACAGAAACATTGCCTGCATATTGCTGTAAGGCAGAAGATCCTGGCCTGCTCAGAAAATATGCTGGGGAATGGTTTGTGTTGGAAGGGATCTTAGACCTGATCCAGTCCCAACCCCCTGCCACGGGCAGGGACACCTTCCACTAGAGCAGGTGGCTCTAGGCCCCTGTGTCCAACGTGGCCTTGAACACTGCCAGGGATGGGGCAGCCACAGCTTCTCTGGGCACCCTGTGCCAGCGCCTCAGCACCCTCACAGGGAACAGCTTCTGCCTCAGAGCTCATCTCAATCTCCCCTCTGGCAGGTTCAAGCCATTCCCCTTGTCCTGTCCCTACAGGCCCTCGTCCAAAGCCCCTCTCCAGGTTTCCTGGAGCCTCTTTAGTCACTGGAGCTGCTCTAAGGTGTCCCCTTCAGGAGCCTTCTCTTCTCCAGCTGCCCCAGCCCAGCTCTCTCAGCCTGGCTCCAGAGCAGAGCTGCTCCAGCCCTCGCAGCAGCTCCGGGGCCTCCTCTGGCCTCACTCCAACAGCTCCACGTCCCTCTTGTGCTGCTGCCCCAGAGCTGCTGCTCAGAGGAAGCTGGGGCTCCTTCCCCCCACTGCTGCCTGTGGCTGTGCAGGGACCCCCGTGCTCTGGGCAATGGCACTTACTTTCTGACGGGCTCTTCCCCATGCTTCATCAGCAGCCGGATGGCCGTGGGTGCTGTGTAGAACTTGGTCACCTTGTACTTGTCAACAACACTCCACATCCGCCCGATGTCAGGGTAGGTGGGGACACCTTCAAACTGAGAGGGGACAGGGCAGTGACACAACTGTCCCTTACTGCTGCCAACCTGCACCTTACCAAGCAGGAGGAGCCAACAGGGAACAGCAGTTGGACTCTAGCATGTCCTTATAGGAATGCCAGGGGCACCATGCATGGAATCAGGCCAGTCCAGGGACCTCCCCTACTCCTTCTTTGGGATGGATCTGGCATCACACCCACCCCAGGTGTCCTAGGAAATGTCACCTGAAACACCCAGCAGCACAGGCACTGTGGTACCATCCACAGCCCAAACGACCCTTGCCCACATGGTAAGTGGCAAGAGGTCCAAACACAGTGACAGAACCACAACCAGAAGTACCAAGAACCCCAAGAAGGACTCCCTCAATGTGACAGTGATTTTCCTGCTCACATTTCCCCAGGGAGCCCAGGACACAGGCCTCTGCCCCTCTGATACACTGTCACACTGCCACAGGAGATGTTAAATGCAGGTTGTGCTGTCAGCATCAGTAGGGAGAACATCACTTCCTGCTCCTGGTCCAGCTTTCCCATTACCCCACAGCAAGGTTTGTACCCTGTGTCCACAAGGCTTGTACTTCTAAGGGAAAGAAACAAGGGAGCACTTGAAAAGTTAACCCCCAAAAGCACACAAACTGACTGCCCCTGAGCCGTCACCATGTCCTCCTTGGGGACCACCACCCTCCCTTGCACATCCCAAGACACTGCATGCAATTGAGAAGCATGTTCATCATGGAGCAATGCAGGGATGCAGCTCAACACCAAGCTCTCCACTTTCTTTGAGTAAAAGCACCCAGCTACCAGCCAGCACTTACTATCACACTGGTTGCCCCGTTGGCCAAGGGTCCATAAGTGACATAGGAATGGCCCGTTATCCATCCGATGTCGGCTGTGCACCAGTAGACATCCTCAGGTTGGTAATCAAACACGTATTTAAATGAGGTGGCAGCAAAAAGCATGTATCCACCCACTGTATGCAGCACACCCTGCAAGGAGAAGGCACACAACTGGCAGGGTTAGCTCCCCTCAGGGCCCTCACCCTCCCAGGCCAAGCTGAGCATCACTGGTCCACCGAGTGATGGAATGACCAGCACAGCTCCTTCCTAAGACTTCTGTGGCTCCTCTTCTTACTGGGGCCTCCCAGTGTGGCCCTGGCCACTTCCCTGAGCTGAGGTGTTCCTGCAGCCCAGCTCTGGGGTGAGCTGGGAAGAAGCATACCTTGGGTTTCCCAGTTGAGCCACTGGTGTAGAGGATGAAGAGCTTGTCCTCCGAGTCGCACCACTCGGGCTCGCAGTCCGTGCTGGCGCCGCTCATCAGCTCGTGCCACCACATGTCTCTACCTGGGGTCCAGGGGATCTGAGGAGAGCAGGAGATTAGGAACAGGCCCCAAAGCCATTGAGGGTGCAGCTCCAACTTCACTCCTCTCATGGACCACTGAGGCAGATAATCACAGCACAGCTTCTGTCCCAGAGCTGCCTGCTGCAAACCATGCACCAGAGCTGCAGCTCTCACTCCAGAAGCTCCTTGTCTCAGCCCACAGCCACAAGGAGAACCTTTAAACATAGTCTGTCTGCACGGACCTGAAGCAGACTGTCCAAAGCACTGGTAATGCTGCTAAATCCCTCTCAGCAGCCAGGAGAGGGCTGCAGCAGCTGCTGCTCTGTGCTCTCCCAGCACAGGCTCCTCCGGGGCTGCAGCGGAGCAGTCAAGCAGCAAACACTGAGCACAGCCACACACCCTGCAGGGACCCCCATGGCCCAAACAGGAACACATTGGGCTCATGCTGCAGACCCCCAAAAACCTGTTAGCTGGATTTTAAGGTAATTACCCTTGTAAGAAATGACTGCTCCATCACTGAACCACCCAGCACTGGCTGCCCAAAGCTGCTGCTTGAGGATGCCAGAGGTGTACCAGAGCCACCGAGGCTTGTGGCTGATGGGCAGAGGTCAACCACAGAGCTGTGCTGGCTGGTACCCCTCCAGGGTGGCACAGGCAGTGCAGGACTCAGCTCCACCTTCTCACCTTCCCTCAGAGCAGCCTGGGGGCAGCAGCTCCCCAGCACAGAGCCCCACTTCCCACACTGGCCTTGGGCCTTGCAGCTTCCACATGGGGCATGTCTCTTCCTAACAGAGCTACAGCCTGCACAGAGGCCGCTCAGCTGGGTTGTGGGGGCATGGAGAGCAGCCATGGGCCACACAGTGACTCTCTGCAGCCCTAAAGATCTTCATGGGCCATCTCGAGGCACCAGGACCCCATGGTCCAGCACATGTGGTGCAGGGGATACCAGATGCTTCACAGCCCAGCATATCAGAGCCAGCCTGGAAAGCTCTCAGAGATCCCCAGGGCTTTACCTGGGGAAGCAGCTTCCACAAGGCTGTCCCACCAGCAAGCTCCCAGCAAGGCACCAGGTCAAAGAAGCCCAAGGCAGGCTCCACCAGCCCCTCCAACAGTTGCTTTCTTGCATCCCTCCTTGAAGGATCCCTCCATTTTAGTACCCAACTTCCACTGCCCCATGGAGGAGGTGAGACGCACACCATAGCACCCAGCCCCTAAGGCCAGGCCTGCCTCTGCCTGCTGCTCATGGGGCCTTGAGGCTGCAGCCCCGTGGATGGGGTGCGCAAGGCCCAGATGCTGGGTCTGGAGCTCCAGGCTGGATCTGCAGCACATGCTGCAGCCAGGAAGCTGTGAGTGATCCCACCAGCACTACCACAAAGGGGAGTCTGCTGCAAGAGCTGCTTTAGAAGGCAGAGAGATGAACATCATGGACACGCTGACAGCACCCCCTAGGAGCTGTGCACCTCCTCTCCTCAGCACCCTGACGTGCACTCAGGGGGGGTCATGGGTGCACATTTATCTCTGGCATTCACCCTGAAACCGTGAGCAGCTCTGGCCAAGCAGTGAGTGGTGCCTACCACTAACATGCAACTGCTGCTAGCCTGGTTAGGAAGGCACGTGTGTCTGTGCAGTCAGAGCAGTTAGGAAGGGAGAGCACTGGAAGGGGATGCAGAGGGAGGTGCCACAAGGAGGAAGGCAGTGCTGGGTGTAAATACCTTGGGATGGAGCCTCTGTGAGCTCTCCGTCTTTTTTCCCTGTTAAAAATCCACAGAGAGGGTGTAAAAGTGGAGAAGGGGAGGATCCACCACCAGGCCAAGAGAATGGTGAGAGTGCACTCACCAGGGAAAGCAACCTGTAGTAATGTGTCTGACCAAGCAGAGCAGCAGGAGCCAAAGGGGAAGAGCCCCCTCCAGCCTCCTCTGGGACATTCTGCACACCACCTTCACCTCACCAACCAGCTTCTCTGCAACTGCCCAACCAGGGAAACCCTGCACAGGGAGGTTGGGCTGCTCTGGTTTTCCCACCCCTTCGCAGTTCCCCTGCCCTTGAATAGAAGGGGCAGAGGAGGCCAATGTAACTCAGCCAGGCTGCAAACCCCAAGCAGCACCCCAGTACACAGCTCAACCAGGAAAATTAACTGGAAGATATGGAATTTTCTGACTTCTTGTTCCAGGGATGGACACAGACCATGCTTTGGAAAACAGAGCCCAAAGCTCAAATGCACTCCCCAAATACAACCCATTTCTGAAGAAGCAGCAGTCTGGGGATGACCCAATGCAAATCATCACCTAACACAGAGGGACAGAAGACATGGAGCTGTGAGGTAGTTGGAAGCAACCTGCCTGTCGTGTGGAGGGAGGCAGCAAGACTGCACCCCAGGCTCAGGAGCTCAGCAGGCAGCCAGGGCTCCACAACACCTTCTCCTCCTTCCACCCCCATCTCAGCACATGCCTCTGGCCCACATCCTTTCATGTGGTTTCAGTTGCAAAGGAAAGCCCCAGCCCTGACAGCTGACGCAGTTGCTGTGCCAGCTACAGAGGCTGCACTGTTCCCAGAGCATGATTGTTGTCATGTTGGGGGACCACGAGCACAAACGTGTTTTAACTCTCCTAATGCCACTGTCACGCTACAGTGCAGGAGGGCATTGATCTTTGCACGAAAGGGAAGAGTGACACAGGGTTAGGAAGGAAAAGTCCTTCACTAGGTGGAAGAAAACAGGCATCTTGTCCTTGTCCTGGTGGCTTTGGAAGCTCATCGAATCCCAGACTGGTTTGGGTTGGAAAGGACCTTAAAGCTCATCCAGTTCCAAGCCCTGCCATGGGCAGGGACATCTCACACTGGAGCAGGTTGCTCCAAGCCCCTGTGTCCAGCCTGGCCTTGAACACTGCCAGGGATGGGGCAGCCACAGCTTCTCTGCGCAGCACCCTCACAGTGAGGATGTACTCGCTGTGCTCTCAGGGGTGCTGCAGGTTGACAGCTACTGATGGTGTTAAAGGAAGAAGCAGGGAGAGGGTCTGGGTAAGGCAAAGGAACCATTTTCAGACCACTCTCAATGCAACAACAGCAAGGAGGGAGGAAACAGGAACAGGAGTCAGAGAACAGGAGCATCCAGGGAAGCAGTGTGGTGGTTTTACCCTGATTGATTTGCTGGGCTCAGGCCTATAGCAATAAAATCCCCCCTCCCAGCCCCAGGAGCATACCTGTACATCATGGCACAGCCTTTTGAGAGGGGGAGACTTGCTGCATGTTCCAGCCACCGCTATCTCTTCTCTCCCCAGGTGCTTCACCACAATGCACTTCTTCAAAGGGCAGCCCCTGTAAGAGGCAGGAGCTGGCAGATGAGGCTGGTCAAGGGCTAAGCCTGCCCTTCACAGGCAGCACTGGAGGCAGAGCAGGGGCTCTTGAGCAGCTTTTGCTGAGCCAAAGCATGTGCTGCCATGCAGGCTCCAGGCACCACGAACTGCCAAAGGACACCAGGCACAGGAAGAGGGCTTGGAGAAAAGGGAAATCTGTGCACACCTCACTGGGGATTCATCAGGAAACAGGATTCCCACAAGCACCTCTCACAGGTCACTGCTGGGGAGATTCCTCACAGATCCCATATTTGCCCATCTGTGACCATGAATAAGACCTCCCACAGCACCCAGGAGATAGGAGGTGGCTGCTCCCATCCCTAAGCATGAGGGACTGAGTCAGAAGGAGGAAATGCTTCCAAAGCCAGATCATACATCAAAGAAAAGAGAAGGCATTTGCCCCCTCAGAAGGGCAAACAGCCTACCTACAATGTGAACAAAATGCCCTTATCTCCCTCCAGCCCTTTCAGGGTACCCCCACCCTGTCTCTGTCAGGTAACTGGCAACTTCAACATCACTTCTGCCCTCCCAGGTCCCTACATCTACAGACATATAAACTTAGGTTTTAGAGTTTGAAATGCTTTTAAAGAGTTTGAATTTCTAACATGCACAGACTATCTGCCATAAATCTAACTTACCAGACCACATTCAGTCTCATACAAGCACTGTCTATAAGCATGGCAAAGTCATTTCACCATGATCATTTCCCTTTCTGTAGCATCTGATGGTAGATCTGTCTATCTCTGTATGGTTACAGGAGCTCAGTGAAGATGGTCAGTAAAATAAAGCAGCTTCACCATAGGCTTGTGCACAGCCAGGCCCTGATCCTGCACACACCCTGTGCATGTCCACTGCAATGCCTGTTCCTGTTCACACAGCCAGTTCCCAAACTTGGTTTATTAAATTAGTGTTGAACTAGTTGCTTTGGAGCAAGACTTAAGCCTCATCTTGACGTGTCCCATGGCACTGTGTCCATCTGTTCACAACCGGCACTGCATTATTCCCTCCACTCCAAGAGCTGCTGATGCACAACTGGGAGATCTGCCATAGAGTCACAGAACAGTTTGGGTTGGAAAGGACCTTAAGATCATCCAGTTCCAACCCCCTGCCAAGGGCAGGGACACCACACACTAGAGCAGGTTGCTAAAGGCCCTTGAACACTGCCAGGGATGGGGTATTCAC